AGGCACCATCAGAGATCAAGAACACTTTCCAGCCAGGCCAAACCATCTGCAGTGCAAAGCCGTGGCAATGAGTGGCGCAGAGAGTGGACTTGTGGCCTGAGAAGAGTTCTGAGATCTCCACCCCTGCCCTAGACACACATGTAGAGCCTTTATTCAGGTGGAACCTGCTTATAATGGCCCCAGGTGTGTAAGATCTGAATGACCTGTGTGTGCTTGGTGCACACGTACCCACAGTTACATATAGGACCCACACATTGATAGGAGGGAATGACTCCAACTCTGTTGCCAGGGCAGAAAGCGAAGCAGTGCAGAGAGTTCTGTGGCCCGGAAAGCAGATATAACGCTGGCTGAAATGTATAGAACAAAAAATGAATGTTGGAAATGTAAGGAAAAGGAAGGTACTTTTTACCACATGTGGTGGACATGTAAAGAGGTAAAAGCTTTCTGGGAAATGATATATAATGAGTTAAAGAAAATGTTTAAAAACACTTTTGTTAAAAAACCAGAAGCTTTCTTATTGGGTATAGTGGGTAGAGAGCTACTGAGACAAGATAAAAAATTGTTCTTATACGCAACAACTGTGGTAAGAATTTTGTTAGCCCAAAGATGGAAACAACAGGAGTTACCAACAAAAGAAGAGTGGCAGATGAAGTTGATGGACTTTGCAGAACTGGCGAAAGTGACGGGAAGAATCCGGAACCAGCGAGACCAAGCATTCCAAAAGGACTGGGACAAATTTATATTATATTTGAAGGACAACTGTAAGCAATTAACATCATTAGCAGGGTTATCCGAAGATTTGTAAGATGAAATTGCTACCTGTTCAGGTTGAGTAATATAATATTTTAGGTAATGATATAACAAGGATGGGACGCGGGTGGCGCTGTAGGTTAAACCACAGAGCCTAGGACTTGCTGATCAGAAGGTCGGCGGTTTGAATCCCCGCGACGGGGTGAGCTCCCGTTGCTCGGTCCCTGCTCCTGCCCACCTATCAGTTCGAAAGCACTTCAAAGTGCAAGTAGATAAATAGGTACCGCTCTGGTGGGAAGGTAAACGGCGTTTCTGTGTGGTGCTCTGGTTCGCCAGAAGCGGCTTAGTCATGCTGGCCACATGACCCGGAAGCTGTACGCCGGCTCCCTCGGCCAGTAAAGCGAGATGAGCGCCGCAACCCCAGAGTCGGCCACGACTGGACCTAATGGTCAGGGGTCCCTTTACCTTTTATAACAAGGATAGGAAACGAAGCGAAATGTAAAGATGTAAAGTTTAATTTTGTAAACCAACAGATGGGAGGGAGGGAAGTCCTTAGGCTCAGTTGAGCCAAAGAGATAAAATAAGAGGGTACGATGTTACGTAATGTGATTATATGTAAAACCAATAAAAATCATTTACAACAGAAAGCAGATATAACGCAAAGACTTCTGGTTCTATCCAGGAGAAGGCTTTGGATTGAGAACACGTGTACATGCATACATGAACACACACATGTGTTATTCATATTTCTATCTGGAATATACATGCACGGAGAAACACACACATATTTTGGAATGTTCCCATAACACCCAGGTAACAGTGGTCCTGAAGGAAGCGTGTGTGCCCATCTCCACCAACACAGATTGGGCAGGGAGTGATTTGTGGTGCTATTGACAGATGACACTGAACACAACACAGGAGGAAACAGCATGGCAGAGAGGAGTGATATGGTACACGAAGATCAGAAGAAGCCTGCTCAGGAGAAAGAAGCAGAGCAGACCTGCAAGACAGTCAAGTTAAAACTTCCATGTTAACAGAGGGACCTCCAAACACACACACACAAAGTCACATTCCTATTACACAATGACACCTCCGGCAAGCAGGTTGACTAGACAGTTTGGATCATGTAGATTAATGCACCACCACAAACCATAAAGGGGAAATAAACAAGGTCCAAACTCCCCTCCCCTGTACACTTAACATGTAAAATAGGAGCTGTCGGAGCTAAAACCAAAACGCCACACATCCTGAAAGTCCCTTTGCTCTGGAAGCCCTTATCCCAAACTGCAGATGAGCGGTTGGGAGCTCATGGAAAGCACTCTGAACATGCTCAAAGGCACTCCTTTTTATTCCTGCCATCTTCCAAGGAGCTTAGGGTGGCCTTTTAGCATAACATCAAAACATCTGCTAGCCTGAGGAAGAAGGGTACTGGTAAAATCCTCCTTACGACTTGCCAGGACCATACTGCCAGGAGCCAAGCTACAATTTTAAGGAGGGTTGAAAGCAGTTTGAGAGAGGTTTTGCTTTATACAATGCACACAAATGTTCCTTTTTGCCTGCTGCTGCTGCCTCTGGATAAATAAGTTTTGCAGGTTTCTGAAATAAAAAATAACTTCTTCAGCAGAGGCAAAAGGGCAATGATACAAATAAAACAATTTAATATATATTTATGTATATAAGCAGTGCTTTTTTCTGGGGGGACGGGGACGCATACCCCTAAACTTTTTGAAAATCTTTGTGCTTTTTGTCCATTTACTGTATATATTTTCCCCGATTTGAACTATAAAGTGGTGATTTTCTTGAGTCAAAATGAGAGTACCCCTAAACATTTTTTTTGTAGAAAAAAGTACCATATATAAGTCTCTCTCATTCTTTCTCCCTCTCCCTCTCCCTCTCTCTCTTTCTCTGTGCGTATTTGTGTCTTTCTCTCCGCCATGCAAACATACACTACCATCTCTCTATCTCTCTAGTCAACGTTATTCAAACTAACTTGGTTAAGGTAACCCACGGGACTTCATAGCTAAGCAAGGCTTTGAATCTCACACGCAAATCCAGTGCTCCACTACATTCCTCTGGCTCATGTACCTCACGCATTCCCAGACTCAAGAGACATATTTTCTATAGGGCATTTGTGATGATTTGTGTTCGTGCTGCTGTCAGGGCTGTCAGACACAACCCCACCTTCAATATTATTTGCTCCTGCAAAAGTGTTTGGGGAGTTATACTGCTTCGTTTCCCACCAGTACATGCGCTGAAATCCCATAACTTTTCATACCACAAAAATCTAAGGGATCGGGTTGTCTCACTGTTATTGCACGACAGCCCCTCCAGACAGCAATAGCACCGGGAAAGCATCATACATGTAATAAATGGATCTCCTTTCCTATTGACATCAGGCAGCAGCCTTCACTGTTCTCTTTGCTAAAAAAATGTTTTTGTTTAGAAAAGGCTAGCTGGCACGTGTTTTAATTGTGTGTTTTTTAGCTTGTTGATTTCTATTATTTTTGAGTGGTTTAAATAGTTGTTTTTAACTGGTTTTTCCACTTATTTTTAAACTTATTCCTTTTTTCTAAACCGCTTTGATGCTTTATGGCAATCAAGCAGTAAATATTGTGAAATAAATAAGAAAATCACAGCTAATAAAGCAGAATAAGACTACCACCAACAACCTGTTATTGTGTCAGGAACATGCTGCAAGAAAACACCCCAAATAAAACATCAGTCTGGAGGGACCCTGAGCCACAACACCCAAATCCAACACCTGCACCTCAGCCCTGGATTCAAATTAACCCCGGGTGGCTCATTCCAGAGAGAGCTAGCCGGCTACACACCTCCCTAAACAACTTCCACCTATCGTGGACCCAAAAGTTTGTGTTTACTCCAGGATTCCCACAGGTCATCTTGCATCATAATATGGGGGGGAAATGCCTTCACAAGCATGCATGAAGCAATTGCATACCCCAGCTCAAGAAGTATGGGGATGTTTCCTTTTGCAAATGCCCAACTCCCCACTCCCGCTGTTATAACGGCTGTGACAGCCACTTTCTTTCATCCTCACACAGGCTGGTTGTGCTGGCTTGCAACACAAATGTACACGCACAAGACCTGGAATAGGTAAAGGATGTTTCTCTTCATCTGTGTGGTTCTGTATTGCTGAGTTGTGTTTGTGCACAAGGCTGCTTGTTGCTGGCCTGTTTGCAAGTGAACCTGCACACTTCAAAAATGCCCGTGCAGAATGAACGGGTGCAGGGTGTTGTGTGTGTGTGTGTGTGTGTGTGTGTGTGTGGCAACAACTGCAGCAAGCAAAGGCTAGTTTACAAATATTTTGCAGCAAGCAAATATACACAGCCATTTAACATCCTAACCCAGAGTCTAAAATTACCTCTCTGCCCCACAGGAGAATGCTGCAGCCTAATGCCACAGTCAGACCATATATTCAAAGTCGCGGGGTATACTGGGAACTGTAGTTTCTCAAGGTTGCTGGGAACTTTAGCTCTGTGAGATCAGAACCCTTCACAAACTACAGTTCCCAGGATTCTGTGCAACCATTAAAGAGGTGCAATAGTGCTTTAAGAGCATGGTGCAAATGTGACCTTGGTGTGCGCCATTTGAATGTACAAATGTTCTGCTCCCTTCCACCCCTGGGGTGCAGGAAATAATTACATTTTCCCTTGCAAAATGAGACACAGTTGCTCAGAAAAAAGAGACTCGACGGGAACAAGCCATTAAGGTTCCTGATCAAAACACCCCATAAAACGCACCTGCAACTTCAACACTGGATAAGGGCAGCTTCTGAGGGAAAGAAGCTTCTTTGCTCCTCATCATGAGACGTGAACACAAAAAAGTCCCTGGAGCCCATGTTGTATGAGTTCAGTCCTTCTGAAAAAGCTACCTGCCCAAAATAGTGAAGGACCTGACATGGAGGAGGCAGAGAGCCTGAGGGACTTCTGTCAACAACCAGAGTTTTCTGGGGGTGGGTAGAGGGAGCGATTTGAAGGTGATGCCTATCTACCCCATGGGCCAGGGAAATGGCTGGCCCTAGAATTTCTAACATTCATTTGGGAAAGGGGGGTGCTCCCATAGGAAGAGCGGCTCGGTTTGAGATCCTGCCCCCTCTTCTTGCTCCTGCTACAGCCTTCACCCCTCTCTCTCACCTGGCCACGCAACCAAGGAGACAAATAGCCCCCGCCTCGCTAGAGAGGGCTGCAAACAATGGTACCCTTTGAGGCAGTGGCGGCATGGCTCCTTACCTGCAGGAATTCCTAGCTGCCTGGGCCAGGTGTGCAGCCGGAGAGGGTGGACGAGGAAGCAAAAAGGGGAAAGGGTCTCCTCTGGGATGTGCAGGAGAAAGGACCCCCCCAGTTTTCCAAGCGGTGGGTGCCGTTTTCCCTTGACGGGCTAGGGCTGCTCGAAAAGGGCCCTCAAGGAGCTTCCATCGCTGCAGCAGTCGGTCCCACAGACTCCAGGTGGCCAGAGCTGTACAGTGCGTGTCCCGCCTTGTCTCGCTGGGGGCTGCTGATATTACATAACCGGAGCCGCCCCTGTGCAAGGGGCAGGGAAACCACAGGGCCGGTGGCGGCGATGGCTCAAGGGTTTTCTTCCCTCCCACAAAGCCTTGTGTTGCACCCTGCCTTTCCAAGAAAGGCCACAGAGCCGTCTGCTATCTGCACTTACAGAGCTCGAAGGAAGAGAGTCCACAGAACACCACACACACACACACACACACACACACACACCACACAAAGGAAGAAAACTAGAGAGAGGGTATCTGCCGCTCCGAGGCTACCCTGGCACAAACATACCCTGCAAACAGATATAAACGAACAGGGATGCCAGAGAACGGAATAAAACAAAAGGGAAGACAAGCAGGGTACATGCAAGACAGCGCTTCAATACACAGCACAGGGCCGGCTCTGTCATTAGGTGGGGTTAGGCAGCTGCCTCAGGCGGCAGATGATGAGGGGCTGGGAGAAGATGGAGTGGTATGTGTCATACGGCCTGCCCTGCGCCCCCTAAACTAGCCTGCTGCACCCAAGTATAGTGGCGGGTGATCTCTCTCGCCTCTTGTATATGGAATTGGTGGAGGTGGTGAGGCGCCATCTTGTCCTTTGCCTCAGGCGGCGGAATGTCTTCCACTGGTCCCGAATGTGCAGGTCACACTCATGCTGTGACACAACCTAAGTGTTCCCACCTGCAAGGAATAACTGGACGCAGCGTGATAAAGCTCACAACAAACGCTCCACAGGGACACACTGCAAGATGGTGCTGGGCGTGAGGAGAGGTTACATTTCAGATACAAGGCCGCCATTTAAGAAACACACAAAGAGAACCAGAGGTTGTAGCTATTCTACAAACCTGAGGAATATTTTTTTTTAATGCTTTAAGTGTTCTTGGGGTTTCTTGAGAATGGTCGTTTTGTGGCAATGCTAAGCATTCCTGGGTGAACGTCTTAATCCTGTCATCGGGTTACGGTTCCCAGGGTTTCTTGAGGGAAACCATGACAGTGCACTAGATTACAGTAATAGTGGAGTCATACCCACCCAGTTCCATGCCATTCTCACTGTCTTGCACATATCTTTCTCTTTCGCTCACTATCTTCCATGCTCTCATAAGCTTGAAAAAAGAGACAAGGCATGTATTTTTGTAAACTAAGAAATCTATTCTTAGATTCCTAAGAATTTTTGTAAACTAAGAAATCTATTCTTCTGCTCACTTGAAACCAATCAGGGGTCAGCAAACTTTTTCATCAGGGGGCTGATCCACTGTCCCTCAGACCTTGTGGGGGGCCGGACTATATTTTGAAGGGGGGGGGGAAATGAACGAATTCTGTTCTACTTGTTTAATATTATTTTAAAAGTCGGTTGAGAGTTCCACCTGCAGTTATCCCACCTCCTTCTGCATCTGGCCCTGCCCAACACGGAAACCCAGAGGGTTGTCCATGAGGAAACATGGCCCACTCTGGCTAACAAAGGTTCCCCACTCTTGCTATAGAGGGATGTGGGTGGCGCTGTGGGTTAAACCACAGCGCTTAGGACTCCCGTTGCTCAGTCTCTGCTCCGGCCAACCTAGCAGTTCGAAAGCACGTCAAAGTGCAAGTAGATAAATAGGTACTGCTCCGGCAGGAAGGCAAATGGCGTTTCCGTGCGCTGCTCTGGTTCGCCAGAAGCTGCTTAGTCATGCTGTATGCCGGCTCCCTCGGCCACTAAAGCGAGATGAGCGCCACAACCCCAGAGTCGGTCACGACTGGACCTAATGGTCAGGGGTCCCTTTACCTTTACCTTTTACTCTTGCTATAGGGCAACTCTCATGGCAGCCACTCAGATGGATAAAACCCATTCCATAAGTTGCCTCCTTTCGTCAGGTTGCATGTTTACAAAGCAGGATGCCATCACAATGTAGGGAAATTGTATGACCCGGGCAGAATCGCTGCAAAAATATCTGTAGTTTGCCATGATTGGGGAACGGAAGGTGGCAGAGTGTGTGTGTTTGGGGGCAGGAATGGGCAGCTGAAATAAATCCTAGGATGGAACGCATTTCTCCTGCTCAAGGTCCTTTTCCCACCCTGTGCTGCCAAACATAAAGGTAAAGGTAAATGGACCCCTGACTAGTCGTGGCCAACTCTGGGGTTGCGGCGCTCATCTCGCTTTATTGGCTGAGGGAGCCGGCGTACAGCTTCTGGTTCATGTGGCCAGCATGACTAAGCCGCTTCTGGCGAACCAGAGCAGCACACGGAAACGCCGTTTACCTTCCCGCCAGAGTGGTACCTATTTATCTACTTGCACTTTGACGTGCTTTTGAACTGCAAGGTTGGCAGGAGCAGGGACCGAGCAACGGGAGCTCACCCCGTCGCGGGGATTCAAACCGCCGACCTTCTGATCGGGAAGTCCTAGGCTCTGTGGTTTAACCCACAGCGCCACCCATATCCCGCTTCACTGCCAAACATAGTCACATGTTAAATTAATTAAGTTAAAAGAACCGGTAATACATCTGTATCGATTGCTGGCTTAGAAGGTCATTAGCATATTTTTTGGGGGATGGGCAGTTTGTCACATGAGCGGTGATGTTTCGCTGGGTTGTCCATACATCAGCACACATTGACTTCCATTTGCTCCTCACTTGAGCGCAACCTACGTCTTTTCGTTCCCGGCAGCCCAAATGACAGGAGTGTGCCTTTTTCCAGTTGCACATCGGGATTTCAACAAACAAGTTTGGAGGAGTCGTTCTCTCGAGGTCTCACGCCATGCGGAGGATTTCTTAATTGCAGTACATATACGGGGACTTTGAAGAGCTTGTGCAAGACCTCTTTTTCAGGATTTTGGTAGAGCTAAATGCTAGTCTTGTGCAACACCACTCTATACGTACATTTTTTTTTTCAAGAAACAACAACAAATGGAGATAGATGTTGCTCCTGTCCGAAAAGCACGAGACTCCCTTTAGCCCACAGTGAACAGAAACAAACATATTTCAACAACCTGTTTGCAACATAAGGACCCCATCTGGAAGCACCCTTACACAAAACTATAAAGTATTGTGTTCAGTGGAACCGTCTCCCTGTCAGCATCGCCCTTGAGCCAGTGCCACCGACTGGACTCATCCACTTCAGCCGCCTACTGGGCCAGTCGAGCTGGGGTAGCACTTCCAGAGACCACCTTCTGCACAGGAACAGGTCTAAGTGCTGTGGACTCACAACTCAGAGTTGTGACCACCGGATTCACTCCAACAAGAAGACAGTCGTCGCACAGCAGAGTACAGACAGCAGAGTATAGCAGAGCATAAACGACTCGGAGAGCAGCTCTGTAGAATATCTTCTTTTATTCTATCTACAACTATAATACACAACTATGTACAGAGCTAAATGAGGTCTAAACGAAAATGCTGAACTGCACTGAGTGTCTGCAGCTGCTCTTAGCAGCATCCTTATCTATACACACAATCTCTCTCTAACACTCAGTCTCTCTCTCTCTCTCTTTGATGTGAGGCTGGAGCGGAATAAGTAGAGAGCAGAAACCGCCCCCTCCTCTCTGGAGAATCAGCAGAGAACATCAGCAGATTATTGGATATGGGAGGGGTGAAATCTCCTCACTCCCTGGTAAGCGTGCCCAGAATTGTGGGCACTTCTGACTGTGGCTATAGCTTAATATCTGACCCACTTCCCAAATACCTACAAAGGATGTGTGCAATCCAATCCAGTGAAGATGGCTCAAAAAACCACTGTTTTAAAGCATGGTTTGCTTGGATTGATCACATTATGCCACATAATATAAAGAGGCAGGGGGGGAGAACCTCAGGCCTGGGGGCTGAAGGCAGTTCTCCCAGTATTTTGGGTGTCAACACTCTCTAAAGCTCACACCATCCCCTGGCCCAACTCCGCAACCTGCTCAAGTGCTTCTGGCCTGGCTAAAATGTACCCTCTAAGGCACTCGCTTGCCTGGATTGAGACTGGAGAAGCGAATGGGTGTCCGTAGAACCCTCTGACTTTTGCGTGGCTGAAGTGCAGCCACATCCGAAAGGAAGAGTCACCTCCATTGTCCCACCTGCTTTTGCATCCGGTCCTGCCCATCACTGGAACATGGCCCCCAGAAGGAAATGTGTCCCTCTCTGGCTGATAAAGCTTCCCCACTCCTGCTATAGGGCAACTCTGACGGCAGCTGCCCAGACGGATAAAACCCGTTCCAGAAGCTGCCTCCTTTCGTCGGGTGGCATGTTTACGAAGCAGGATGCCATCACAATGTAGGGAAAATGCATGACCCGGGCAGAATTGCTGCAGTAAAATGTCTGCAGCTTGCCATGAATGGGGAACAAAAGCTGGTCAAGTGTGTCAGGGGGTGGGGGGGTGGGTAGCCAAAACAAGACCTAGGAAGGGATGCATTTATCCTGCTCAAGGTCCTTTTCCCACCCTGCACTGGCAACCACAGTCACATCCCACAACACTGCCCACCACAGGAAGGTCGTTACTGTGGTTTCTGTGGCTCCTCCTGTCTCTTTCTGCCATATGGACAACTTAAAAAAACAACAAAGAGTTCCCCAGGGGCTGGATCTATTTCTGGATATTCCCTGTAGGCGTCTTTGCATGCAACACAGGAATTTGGGCAGAGAGACAGAGATGGATGTCACTGTCACGAGAGCTGTGTGTATTGCAATCCTGTTGCACTTCATAGGGAAATTCCAGAGGCAAGATTATTTTGGCTGCCCACTGATTCTGAGGGCAGCAAGAAGCCGGCATTTGAAAGGATATTGTAGGCATGGCTATCAAGTGGATGCCACTTATGTAGGCTTGCTTGCAACCCTTCCCCTGTAAGATTCAATCCAGTGCCTTAAAGCAGATGAATGAAGGGAGAGACTTGGCTTTCCGGTGTGAACATTCCGGGTATGTTCGCATTAACACTCCCACTGCTAGTTTCTGAAGTTATCTTCATGTGACGTTAGCCACAATCTCTTTTGATTCTGCAGCTTCTTAACAAATATTGCTGTTAGATGCAGTCTCCCCCCACCAGCTTCAGTCCAAGCAAACTTAAGCAACATTCACTTCATACTTCAGAATTGCGTGAACATTTGTGACAGCCGTTGCACATGTGCAGATAAGTGTGCAGGC